AGTAAGAGTGGGTGCGAGCGTGTGTTTTCTAGTAGGAAGTCATCAGTGTATAAGCATCTTGTATCTCGTCCTGATTGCTGCAAGGTGTATTCTGATTTTTTTTTCTGTTTTGTGCCGTGCTCGTCATGGTTATAAGTTGCAGTTGAGTGTGTTAGAAGCTGTTTGTCAACGTATTCATAAGCCTAATCTGTATGTCCAGAAGGACAGCATATTTCGTTTGAAATTGTTCTAGTAGCAGCTTGTTCTGTCTGTTTGGCCCTGGTTGGCCATGGTGTCATATCTTGTGTCACAGTATACTAGTAGTCTTTACAAGTTCGTTAAGTGCTTTCGCAGTTTTTCCTGTTATTACCTTAGTGCTAGGATTATCATTTTCATAGGTGTTGTTTCTTCTCACTTCATTTCTCTTTATTAGTATCTTTATGGAGTGTTTTTCATTAGTACAACGTAGCTTCCTGAGGAGTGTTGTGCGAAAACTAGTTCGAAGTACGATTTTTTGTTCATCATTTTCTCCATATCACATTTTTTCTTTCTTCCATGTTCTTCACTGCCTTCGTATCCACTCGGTTTTTGAATACAATAAAAGCCTTTGTGAAATGTCGGTTCAGCTCGTTCTGTTGATCGCAATTCTAAAGATATTATTATTATCTAAAAAGGCGACGTGGAGACAATAATCTTAATAATGCGATGAATATAACTAAATGCGCACTCATATCACAACCATGGGGACGAATCATGTATTCCAGAACGTTTTCTTGTCACAATTATCAATGGAATTCGTGACTAAAGAGAATGATGAAACTACAATAGGATTTATACACTTACAGTGGAACAGCGAGGAAACAAGCATAGTAAGAAAAATAGCACAAACCTAGGAACAATTTGCACAGGTAATAAACTATAGGTGAGGTGAGAAATGATAGGAAATTCAGCAAGTGCAGCGTGACAATGGACATGCATGTGTAAGTGTGTGTGAGTGCGAATTTACTGGAATAGCGTAAGTGCGGTGACATTTTCTTTTTGTTTACAAAGATTTGGATCACGAATGCGAATGTAGACTGCTTCTAGAACTTTTAACTGCTTGAAACTACTTGCAGAACGAACAACACTGAACCAAGAATCATCATAACTTTCACGACACACGGGGCTAGACAACAAATGCAATTTAATTGCCGATGTATTCTTCTTCTTCTCACCGCCTCCGCCTTCACTTGGTTTCTGACCGCCACCGTCCTTCACACCATCTGCACCATCATCGTCATCATCGTAACCGTCCTCTTCATCATCGCTGCCACCTTCACCTGTCGTCGGCTCTCCCAGCAACTGACCACCGGGTTCATCATCGTCACTGCACACGTCGCTTCCACACTCCTCCTCCAGCTGCCGTCGCGTTCTCTTCCTGACCGGTCTTCCCTTGCCATTGCCAAACGCCTGACATTCGTCAACTCTTCCGCTGGCATCATCCATATCCGGAGAGTTTCGATGCATCTTTCCAGTCACCTCTGCAAACCGAGCTGCCGCCAGCCGTTTGCTCCTTCTCAGCTTTGGTGAGTTGCGGTTGTCTGCGTCCGGCGTTCCGGTACTCGCTGATAATGAAGATAAGACACAGTGTTCGTCTTCGTTTACATTAATGTTTGTTCCCAATTTCTGCGTGCTGTGTTGGTTTTTCCGAGACACCGTTTGTGGAGCAGAAGCCGCTGCCGGAACGGACAGTGGAGTTGGGTGCTTACGTGGTCGGCCACGCTTTGGTCGGGAGGACCTAGCCGCCTGTGACAATATTATTACGCTATTCCAGTAAATTCGCACTCACACACACTTACACATGCATGTCCATTGTCACGCTGCACTTGCTGAATTTCCTATCATTTCTCACCTCACCTATAGTTAATTACCTGTGCAAATTGTTCCTAGGTTTGTGCTATTTTTCTTACTATGCTTGTTTCCTCGCTGTTCCACTGTAAGTGTATAAATCCTATTGTAGTTTCATCATTCTCTTTAGTCACGAATTCCATTGATAATTGTGACAAGAAAACGTTCTGGAATACATGATTCGTCCCCATGGTTGTGATATGAGTGCGCATTTAGTTATATTCATCGCATTATTATTATTATCATTATTATTATACGCACGTCCGCGTTTGCGTCAACAGTAAGTCCACGTATTCGCATGTGCCAGAAGACAGGCAGAGTGGGCAGGGAGGAAAACAAAAATAAACAAAAGTAAAAAATAAATGTAAGACAGCAGGCGATAGGCACATAACTCATGTTCGATGATAGGTGCTCAATGCACGGGATCTATTCGAAAGAACAAAAAAATAAAACAAGAATAACAGACAACGACGATAGGTTTGTAACTCATGGTCGATGGTAAGTGCTAAATGCACGGGATCTGTACAATGCCTCAGTCCCATCCGTTAGTTGCTGAGTACACCCTGGCACAGCTCGCGCCACGCAGGCCTGTCAGCGGCGATGGCCCGCAGGTTCTCCAGGTCTGCCAAGTTCCTCAGACTCCTCAGTCCTGCTGATTCTAGGTCCGCGGATAGTGTGGACACGATGGTTGTCCGTGGCCGCCCTCGCCATACCTTGTCCCCACAGGTGAAGTAACTCCGCATAGCGAGGGCGGCAGGCGTGTCTTGAGGGAGTCTGAGAATATGCCCAAACAGGCCCCATCTGGATCGCTGCATGAGGGCACTGATGGGCTCTGCGTGGCATCTGCCGTACAGGGCTTTGTTTGGAATCACCTGCGGCCAGCGGATACCCAGGAGACTCCGAAGTTGTCTTCAATGGAATGTGTCCAGACGCTCCCATGCTGAAGCCGTCAGTCCCCAGGTGCCTCCATTGTACGTTAGCACAGGGATGATAAACGCGTTGTAAAGCCTTAGCCGTAGACTTTCGCTGATGATCGATCACGACACCATACCGTGAATAGCGCTCTGAAGGCTGCCGTTGCTAATTGTTTCCTTCGTGCAACATCTTCCTCGTCGCCGAGGAGTGATCCGAGTTTTTTTGTTTTCCGCCATACTTCAGCCAGGCGGTCTCCTTCCCGGCGCAATGCTGTTTTTCTGTTTTATCTTCGTTGACCTTTAGGAGCCAGTCTCCAAGGATAGTGATGATATACGGTAAATGTTATAATGATCTCAAACCAAAAGATGAGGCTGGTACACATTACAATAGTTAGAATTTAGAATGGTCGACTAAGAGGCGCATCAGATGCAACGGCTAAAATCTCAGGGGCTTACTGGTCTTGGTACTGTTGAGAGGGCCAGGAATACTCGGATTCGAATCAGCCCCTCGTCGCTGATCTCCACCTAGTCAGGGTGAGTGAGAGTGAGAGAGAAAGAGAGAGAGAGAAAGAGAGAGAGAGAAAGAGAGAGAGAAAGGGAGAGAGAGAAAGAGAGAGAGAAAAGGAGAGAGAGAGAAAGAAAGAAAGAGAGGGAAAGAATGATAGCGAGATAGGAGAGAGAGAGAGAGAGAGAGAGAGAGAGAGAGAGAGAGAGAGAGAGAGAGAGAGAGAGAGAGAGAGATAGAGAGAGAGAGCACGTACACCGTGTATGTGCAGGCACACCGAATGAGTTTACACACATATTGAGAATGATATGAATGGATATGCTGTCTTGACTTGCAGCACTCGATTCCATGGCAAGTTCATATCAATGCCAGCAACGAATCCTTGGTCAGCATGCTGTTTGACAATGGACATGTCAAAAATGCAGTTGTGGATGTGACAGCTGGCCTGTTGATTACTGTAACCCTCACCTGGCCTCCCCTGTAACACTCACTGTCTGATCAACTGAGCTACCTGTCAATGGTTAGCGCAGATTCAGTTCCTTGTGTATGCGAAAGTTCTCTTACTAAGAACTGCAGAGAGTAAAAGATCTTTCCCAAACACCAAGAGCTAATGAGTGGCTCACAGCTCACCATTGACAGGAAGCTCAGTTTTAGGTCCCAGTGCGCTAATCATTCCAATCTTGCATTTTGGTTTCCTTTCTTTTCTCATTCAAATAAAGTGCAAATCAACACCCTTCTGGATGTGAACTTCCCAGGAGAGGGATCGCCCTCTTTGCAGAGCATGAAAAGCAATGGACCTTTGATTAGACACCAATAGTGCTGTTCGGCTTTTTATCTCGTCCATTCGAAGCGTGTATTCCGTCTGCTGTGTATATTTTCTTCTTTTGTATATTTCCTCTCTCTCTCTGCTATGATAATCTGGGCATTACTATATTTTGGACTTCCAAGTGGACTGATAGAGTGTAGCCGAATCTTGACCATTAACGGTGAGAAGTAAAGTTTGCAAAATATTTTGAGAAATGAACTGATATAGTTCAAACAGTTGCGTAGTATTGATAGTGACGAACTCGACACTTCGTTTTTGTAACTACTTGCAGAATGTGACACTGGTCGTTGATTGTCCTGGCATAGAGTGACCAAACATACCGTGACGGATCTACTTCAGAGTGTGTCTTGGACATTCCTTCACATAAAAGTAAAAGTAGCGGACTACTACCGCTCTGGTACTCTATGTGGAAGACTGTGTATAATATGACCATACGCGAGTGTTGAATGCTCTTTCAGCAACTTCACATACAACTTGCAGTTACATGTATATAGCTTGTTTGTTGGTGCCAGGACTGCTGAAAAGCAGAGAAATTATCTTGATTTTAACGTGTCCAACATGCTTTGTTGATGCATTTGGGATCTCTATGACCCTCAGCGAGCTGGTAATATTATACCTTGATTCTGTACAACATCTGTACTATGCTGACAAGTCCTACACAGGCATCTACCCCCACCACCTTTATAATGCCAGCGAAGACCAGCCTTACTTGAATGTTCATCGGTTGCATATGTTCCAAGTGTGGTCAAAGCCCCCGGAAGATAGCGATTTACGGACCCTGGTACGGAACATGTCCTACTTTATGATTTCCCTATGTGAACCGGCCCTGGCTCACCAAACTAGAAAGGAAAGTTCAATTTGAACTAACTTTTCAGCAGAGACCAACATCTCGATATCGTACGCGAAATGGATTCTGCAACAATTCTGAGCACTGTTCGTCAAGTAAGCCCGATAGGACTTCACAAAACGAGGGTTTCCTGCATTACACGATCGTATAAATATTTCACTAAAATTGGTATATGGAAGGCAATGGAGACATTAGAGGTGATCCAGTGTGTTATGGTAGAACAAATTATTGCTTCCAGTTGTCGCCATTGAGAGGTCCGTCGTTGGCTTCATCAGTCAGTCGAGGCGGAGACTTCTTGCCGCTTAGAATGGGCGCCTGGAACACTTGGATGCGGATTACGGCGACATTGTTAATCTGAACCTGCAGAGAAAGTGGTACACGAAACACAAACGGTACCAATGAACGTACATGACTTGTATACATGCGTTAATCGGCTGATCAGACTTCCCAAGTCAAAGTCATTAAAACAAGTTTAACCTAAAAGCAACGTTTGATACATCAGGCATAAAGGAAATGAATGTGAAAGTACTGAGGCCATACTTGTAAATATTAGCAGGTCCTACTTTAACCGCTGGATTAGGAATTCACATCTCTGTGCATTCGGCTGAATGCCCGGCCAGACACACTCACACGTGCATCGACTAATGTAATGGTTGTTTTTATCGCAAAGTAAGACAAAAAACTGGGAGGCAATAGGCTTGATCAGGTTGCTGCCTCCGCGCCTTGATCCTCGAGGATGGCGAATTTCCTATGGATGAAGAAAACGTACTCTTACTGTCGAGTATATATTTTGGGAGAATTTCAAATCATGCAATACCTGTTGATACTAGACCAGGGTTTGGGCAAGGGCTACTAAGCTGTATAATGGTAGCAGAGGTCTCACCCTGATGCGGTAGTTCTGTCCAGCGACTACCTGCGTGATGTAATCTAGAGCTCTGAACATGCGCAGTTCTGGAGAGTTGATCTTCTCCTCAACAGCCGTCTTGACCTGAGAACAGGGACAGCATAATAGAGATATTCAGTAAAGCACTGAAGAAATAAACACGAAATAGCCACAGTATAGTTTCGGAACTGCACTATACCGACGTAAGTGATCAATTATATGAAGAACAGTATCGTATAGAGACGAGTATTCTTTTCTAATGCACAAGACATGCGAACACATGGGTTAAAACACATCATGCATTCACACATCAAAACCTACAAGCATGCACATAGGCACACACGCAAAACACACACTCACACACACACACAAATTGAGTTTCCAGGGTCATACACAAGCACCAAAGTCACTTACTTCATCGCAGAATTTCTGGACTTTGGCATCGGCCTTCTTGGGAGATTGACTCCACGCACCACACTTAATTGCTTCCTGGTGCTCCGCCATCTTGGATTGAATGTGATTTCGAAATAAACGACACTGCCAACATACGGTAAAACAGCATTATGAGGAAATCATCTCAACAGCTCACAGTTAAATACTCGTCACTTGATGCGCTGCAGCAAGCCTCGCGGGATAATTTGGCTCGCATGTTCTCGCGACTCAATGAGATTATCACTGGCCTTCATCCGCTCCAGCAGCGTCATTAGTCACCAGTCTACACGGGCCACACGCCTAGGATCGGGTAGACACTATCTGGTCACTGTCTGGGGCGAACATTTTGAACTGGTCACATCGATCGAACTTATCGTAATCCAGCACACAGCACACTGCACACTGCACCCACGTTCACTGCTGCTCTCCGCACTGCGTTCTGTTGTGTTAAGTTCTGACGTCCCTTGGGGAGTACAGTACAGTGTACTTTACTCAGTTAGGAAGTTGTGCAACACGCATTGTTCTGGGGACTGGCATGAGACCTGTACGTCAGCTGCTGAACTTGCCAAAACGTTAATCATGCGCGGATTAGATTTACTTCCCTGGCGTTCGCTCTCAGCGGAGCCATGAACATACCAATTTCCGTGAATTAACTGTTTTGAAGGCCAGTGTACAGTGTAGACAGGGTCTAAAACAAATTGTGCACTCTGGGACAAGTGCGTACCATGCTTTTGAATTACATGTGTTCTGGCAACGCTGGATACGTCTAGTACTTGTTAGCAACAATACAAACCAGCGCACACACTGCACTGCATTGCTTTGTACTGCATTCAAGACTGACGTCATGCGCTTTGTTTTGCTGCGCAATCACAAATGGCACCAGCCCGTTTTGCTGAAAAGAATAACAAAATCTTGCTTGCCCTGTTGTGCTCTTCCAGACAACGGATCGTGCTGCAGCAGTGTTTCTTTTCCCACCATCCCTACCTATCCAACTTATTCACACCATCATTATAATTATCGTACGCACTAATCCGGACCACTCTCACAACTGGTGTTATCTACAAGTAGCTATTTGCTGCGGCTCTGCCTTGCGCTATATTACATCCATTTAGCATAGCAGCTCTACGTTGAGCTAACAGCAGCTCTACTTTGAGCTAACAGCAGCTCTACTTTGAGCTACCAGCAGCTCTACCTTGAGCTAACCGCAGCTCTACTTTGAGCTAACCGCAGCTCTACTTTGAGCTAACCGCAGCTCTACTTTGAGCTAACCGCAGTTCTACTTTGAGCTAACAACAGCTCTGCTCTGAGCTAACAGCAGCTCTGGTATGAGCTAACAGTAGCTCTGCTCTGAGCTAACACCAGCTCTACCTTGAGCTTCAAACCAGTTGTTTGGAAACCAGCACTCCTCAATCCAAAGATGCCTCTTTGTTGAATTGTTTGTGTGAGGGATGGGGCTAAAGACATACATGTACAAAACAAAATACCAATGTGCCTGAAAACAAGGTGTGATTAGTGGAGGGAGTATGACAAGAAGAAGAAGAGATAAGATTCCCTCGCCAAACTGCACTTACGCTACAACATTGTGTTGAAATATAATTATAAAAATGGCGTGAACAAGCACACGTGACCACAGGACAGTACGTTGGTAACAGTAGCAATCATCATCATTCAAATTGTTTTCCCACATTGTCAATTGTCAAGGAACACCCAACCACGGTCACGGTTTGCCTTAGGATGGCGTCTGGAGATGTGGATTGCCTCCCTTATCCCGCTGGTCACGTATGACACTTCAGTTGCGAGCATGGATGGTGATGTGAAGGGAATGAATGGTGCTGTGGGTGGATGTTTTAGTGGTTTGTGAAGTGCGTAGTGCTCTCCCCAGGGCATTAGCGGGGCGCAGTCTCCTGCTTCTCGGTAATTTTCCTGGACTCGCTCCCTGACACATTGCTCCGTCCTTCCCACATACTCCTCTCCACAAACGAAACAAAACATAGAATAGACCACATTCTGCGACATACACTGACCGTCACTCATACTCACATAACATGCACGGCATTCCACTGGCCTCCCCCTTCTTTTCGCCTTCCTTCTGTACCCTTATAGGGGGCACTCTGGACTGGCAAACGAGGAAGACACCAACATGTCTTTCAGGGACTGACCAGACTGAAAGACAACATGGACATTCTTGCTGTACGACCGAACTATACGACGAACGTCACGGGCTAGGCGATCGTTGACGAATGGGAGTTTGACGGCGAATGTATATGTATTCTTTTTGACATGATAACTTAGCACATTGAGCACATCTTCGCTGATCGCTGATCTCCACCGACTAAGAGAGAGAGAGAGAGAGAAATAGAGAGAGAGAGAGAGAGAGAGAGAGAGAGAGAGAGAGAGAGAGAGAGAGAGAGAGGGAGAGAGAGAGAGAGAAAGAGAGAGAGAGAGAGAGAGAGAGAAAGAGAGGGGGAGAGAGAGAAAGAGAGAGAGAGAAAGAGAGAGATAATAAAGAGAGAGGGATAAATGAAGAGAGAGCGAGAGCGAGAGCGAGATACATAGAAGAGAGAGACAAAGAGAGAGATATAAACGAGAGAGAGAGACAGAGATAGCGAGAGAGCAAGTGCAGCGTGCATGTGCAGGTATACCGAGTAAGTTTACACACATGTTATGAATTAGCCTGCTGACGTCTAGGGCTTCAGATGTCGGACTTGATTCCATGGCAAGTTCATATCAGTGCAAGAAACGAACCCTTGGCCGAAAAGCTGGTTGACAATGGACATGTCAAAAATGAAGTCGTGGATGTGACAACTGGCCTGTTGTTTTCTGTACCACTCACTGTCACTCCCTGTAACATTCACTGGCTGATCAACTGAGCTACCTGTTAATGGGGAGCTGGGTGAAGATCCCCAGTTCTTGGGGTTTGGGAAAGTTCTCTTACTCTCTTCAGTTCTTAGTAGGAAAGGTCTTTTTGCTTGCGACAGTTCTCTTACTAAGAACTGGAGAGAGTAAGTAAACCTTTGCAAACACCAAGAAGTAATGAGCGGCTCGCAGCACTCCATTGACATGTAGCTCAGTCTTAGGTCCCAGAGCGCTCATCTTTACCATCTTGCATTTTTGTTTCCTATCTTTCCTCATTCAAAACATGGTGCAAATCAACACCGTTTGAGAAATTAATCTGCATGTAAACTTTCCAGGAGAGGGAGCGCCCTCTTTGCAGAGCATGAAAAGCAATGGACCTTTGCTTCGACACCAATAATGCTGTTCGGCTTTATATCTCGTCAACTCATTCGGGCTGCTGTCTCCATTTTCTTCTTTTGTATGTTTCCTCTCTCTGCTGTGAAATTCTGCGCATTAAAATATTTTGAACTTCCAAGTGGACTGATTCAGTGTAGCCGAATCTTGAGCATTACTGCGAGAAGTAAAGTTTGCTTGCTGTGAAAAGGAACTGATCTAGCTTAAACAGTTGCGTAGTATTGATAGTGACGAACTCGACACTTCGTTTTGTAACTTCTTGCAGAATGTGACACTGGTCGTTGATTGTCCTGGCCTAGAGTGACCAAACATACCGTGACTGATCTACTTTAGAGTGTGTCTTGGACATTGCTTTACCTAAAAGTAAAAGTAGCGGACCACTACCGCTCTGGTGCTCTATGTGCAAGACTGTGTATTATGACCATACTGCTACAGAGTATTGAATGCTCTGTCAGCAACTTCACGTTCAACTTTTTAGTTACATGTATATAGCTTCGCATGTTTGGTTGGGCCGGGATTGCTGAAATGCAGAGAAATTATCTTGATTTTCACGGTGTCCAACATGCTTTGTTGATGCATTTGGGATGTCTATGACCCTCATCGAGCTGGTAACATTATACCTTGATTCTATACTACATGTACCTCTGTACTATGCTGACAAGTCCTACACAGAAATCTATCCCACCTCCTGGATATTGCCAGTGTCGTAGTCCGGCGGCCCGGAGTTAGGCCCCGGAGCCGCGGCACCAACATGACTAATCTACAACTATCCCATTACAGGCCGTGCAGTGGTGGCCGTAACTACAATTACATTATTAAACATACCGACACCACATACACTCGCACATCAGACATATTTAGACATGTTCGGGTCACACCACACCCAGACGGGTCTACGACAGGTCACAGCGAGACAGCTCACAGCGCGACAACTCACAGCGAGACAAGTCACAGCGAGACAACTCACAGTGTCGTCAACTCACAGTAAAGACAACTCACAACCAAGACAACTCACTGCGCGACAACTCACAGTTTCGACAACTCACAGTGTCGACAACTCACAGCGTCCTTATTTTATGTAATGGTGCAATGAAGACCTGGAGTCTGTAGGGGTTGGTCCTAGTAAAAACCTACAATGTATATGATAATAATAACGCGACGTTTTCGGCACTTCCCTATTTACATGTAATGCAAAGAGGAAAATAACATGTAACTCGGATGGTGAGCCAATTAAACAATTCTGAAAAGAAGAAGGCCAAAATGTTACGAGTTATGACTAACTGTCCACCAACGTAACGAGATCTTATACAGTCAGCGAGTGCGACCAAATGTGGACACTTAGTCATAACTCGTAACATTTTGTCCTTCTTCTTTTCACAAGAAAATAACAGAGAACTTTAATCGAGAAAGAAGACAAAGCCTGAACAAGAAGAAGACAGTAATGAAAATAAAGTTAAAATATAAGATAAAATAAAAATAACCTTGAAATTTCCTGTAAGAATCACATAATTATATGAAATGCCAAGTTCGCAGCAACTCCTCATAGAAACTCATCCTTCGTCATGGTCTCAAACGACCGGAGTATGGCACGAAGTCGCTTGTCCTGATCTTCATACTTCCTCCTCTTCTTCGGAGCCTCATAGCCTGCATTTTCCCTCTCCACACACTGCTCCACCATTGCCTGCTCGACAAAAATACCATCCAGGAATTTCCAAATTGTGGGATGATGACACAGTCGATGGTAGACAAAAACTTGCGGTACAGAACACAATAATTCTGTTGTCCACGGTTTCCGGTCCACTGTCGTAGAGAAGGAAGACGTCCCCACCCTTCGTTTCTTGATAGCGCTCCGGCAACTGGAGGTCTTGCAGTGTGCCTGGGTTCGGCGGAATGTTCTGAACCCGCAGCCGATCGCGGTGTGGCTGTGAATTGTCGCGCTGTGAGCTGGGGTGGCTGTGAGTTGTCTTGGCTGTGACTTGTCTCGCTGTGAGTTGACGACACTGTGAGTTGTCTTGGCTGTGAGTTGACGACACTGTGAGCTGTCGGCTGTGAGTTGTCGCGCTGTGAGCTGTCTCGCGGTGACCTGTCGTGTTCCCACTCACTCGCCGCGCCATGCCCTCACATATACAGCACCCGCATTCACATACTTACACACATACACACACACACACACACACACACACACACACACACACGCCTATACTTTCACATCGAGACTCACATCTTGCGGTCAGACATAATATCAAACGATACTTATCAAAACGAGAGGAGAGAAAGTCGTGACTTGCCGTAAAGACGAAGTTGCGAGAGAGAGAGAGAGAGAGAGAAGGAAAGTCAACGCAATAGTATCTAGTTGCGGCCATGGAAGTCCATGGCCACGAGATTGCTGGTCCCGCATGCAATAGCGTATCACCGTAATAAATATGCGTACGAACTGTTGCATAAAGAGCGGGAGCCATGTGGGGAAATATAAAATAAAGACGATTATGAACCCGTTTACGGGAGATAGATAAATAATAAAACAACTAAATAAGGCATACTTGTCCCGTAGAGGCCTAAAAGGCACGTGCCAATCGTATGGATACGACACCAGCGAAGACCAGCCTTACTTGAATGTTCATCAGTTGCACATGGCCCCAGTCTGGTCAAAGCCCCCGGAAAATACTGATCGACGGACACTGGTACGGACCATGGTCTACTTTATGATTTCCCTATGGGGACGGCCCCTGGGTGACCAAAAAAGAAAGGAAAGTTCAATTTGAACTAGTTTCACATCAGAGACCAACATCTCCAACGTCGTCAAATAAGCCCGATAGCACCACACAAAACGAAACCAGTTTTCCTGCATTACATGATCGTTCAAATATTTGACGGAAATTGGTATATGGAAAGCTATGGAGACATTAGATGTCATCCAGTGGAGTATCGAAGAACAACATATTGCTACCAGTTGTCGCCATTGAGAGGTCATCAGCCAGTCGAGGCGGAGACTTCTCGCCGCTTAGAATGGGTGCCTGGAAGACTTGGATGCGGATTACGGCGAGTTAATCTGAACCTGCAGAGAAAGTGGTCCACGAAACATAAACCGTACCAATGAAGCTACATGTATACATGCGTTAATCGGCTGATCATACTTCCCAAGTCAACGTCATTAGAACAAGTTTAACCTAAAAGCAACGTTTGATACATCAGGCATAAAGTAATTGATTTGAAAAGTACTGAGGCCATACATGTAAACGAGAGAGTTTGGAAGCGCAGGGCCCTACGCCATGCTGTTTTGCCTTGATTAACTAGGCAAAAAAGAGTACATTTTTCATTTCTCCTGTTTTTTTACGACATAACCTGGGATTCGAACTCGCACTATCGCCCTGCATGCATCCCCCGAAACACTTTGCATACATACTAAATCTAGGTTCCAGTGGCGGTGCGCATGGCATTCCGGAGCCGACATTAGCTGATGAACGACCGAAAAGAAGCTTACGTGTAAATACATATAATGTACATGTCAAATTTAGACGACAGGCTCGGATCGTCTTGATCACCTCGTTGTTCCCTCCTCCAGAATAGTCCTGGGAAAGAGGATATCCAGTCAAAGCTACCAAGGGAACCTCAGCTGTCGTCACTTTGCTTGTCAAAGTCACATGTACATGTGTACATGTACATGTGTGCATAAGGGATGCACCAGTACAGGGTATTTGTACCACTCTGCTTTAGGAAGATGTGTTTCAACCACCCTCAGTCTTTGCCAAGGAGTGGAAACCCCGCAATACATACTTATAGACATGCATTGGAGCAGGCAGCATAGTGGCCATTAACTGTGTATAATAATTATCTTAATGATTTATAATAGCTATGAAAAGTATGAATGCCGCAGACATCACCACGCAACATGACAATTTGTTCAAGGTATGAGCCATTTGTCACACTTACTCTTTATCTTAGCCCTCACTTTTGCAATACTTACGCGTCATATATCAAACTTCTTTGGATACTTAACCTTTGTTTTTCCCTTGATCACTTTAGTTCCGTATTTCCACTGATGATCGGATCTTGAAAATCGATTCTGGAAACACACAATCTGAAACCTTGAACAAATTATCATGTTGCGTGGTGATGTCTGCGGCATTCATACTTTTCATAGCTATTATTAAACTTTTATCTCCACGTAGATTATTTAGTGCTTTCTCGTCTGACTACTGACAAGATCTCTCTACATGCACGTGTACAGACAGGTGTATGACTTGCCTTCCACATAAACTATGGCGTGTGATATCAAGAATACATAACCCCGGGGTTATGTATGCTTGGTGATAGCCTGGCAGTGTTGGTACAGCAGTATACATTATAACAGTAGGGCTAGGCTAGTTGGGTACAACACTGAGTATCTAGCTTATATCAGTGCAATCATCAGGCAACACAAGGATGCTGTAGACCACGCCAGTTAACACTGCTTAGATGGTCATTGGTTTGGGGCGTCGTGCTATACCTTTGGACTTGGGTCGCTAGTAAGTGCTGCACTGAAATTATACTATGCGAAATGAAATACGTTACTTGCTCATGCTGGCCTGTGTTATTTTCATTGCTTCTAGCATTGTATCAGCGCAGAGAGTGAGTAGATTGTTGGTGTAATTAGCAGGCTGTAGTGGTGAAGTTAGTAAGGTTATGCGGTGGTGAACTTGAGGTCTTGTTCTCATGTCGGCACTTGGAGACGAGTTCTTGCCGCTTGCTGAGACATTCAGGGAATGTGATCTTGCTGCACCAACACGTTTTGTGTTAGAGTGTCTGCTGATCTCGAAGCCTACAACCACGCTAAGACTCCGCGAAAAAGAGTGATTTAGAAAGGATTCCAAAACGTTGACAGGCGTTATCGGATAGATTAGAAATATGACGGTAATAGCCACACTAATTTGAAGTTGTTTCGGCGTAGCGAGCGGAGTCAGACATTGGTGCGGTGGGCAGTGTTAACATCTTCCTGACTTTCTGCATGCTGAAGTGAACATGCATGACTGCATTTTTGGCCTCCTCTATTATTACGCCAGGTTGTTAAACTCATAGTGTGAATTTATTCTCTTAGATGGTTTAAGCAGAAATGATTTGTTAGCTCCGCGGTGAAAAGAGCAGCGGATTGATCGTAAACATCCTGTTTTTCTCCTTCTTGCCACCTTGGATGGATGTCCAGCTACATAACAAAAAATAGAAGCGGATTCGAGAGGCTCGTACAAGAACCACAACACCATTTTTAAGTTTATCAGCTTTGTATCCCCGCAATCAGACCTACCAAAGGGCTATTGACCTAATAATGAAAATCTTGCCGGAGCATTATTCCTTTATTCTCTGACCTCCGAAATGGGAAATGGGAATGAAAAAAAACTGTTGATTCAAAGCGCAATTACTGAATGAATATTCTTTGGTTGTACGCTAGAAAGTACCGGTAATTGGTCAGTGTATGGAGTTTCCCGTTCGAGGATCGGGGCTACAAACAAATTTGCTGGTGGTAACATAGTCTAGGTCGAATGATACGCCCGTAAAATGCTTGTTATGCATATATAGAACGTATGCAGTCATCAATGGGAACCATTCAGTGAAGTCACAAACAAAGAATGGTAGCTGGCTGTACTCCTAGCAGGGTGACCTATGGCCAATGTCGGCAGAAAACATTGGGAGAAAGTCACTTTCTGCATTACTACTTTGCGGTGTTGACAAAGGATCTCATGCGCTTTCAGCTACTTGGTTTGGCAGCACTACCTCAAGAAAATTTGAAACCTTGATCATTCTGCATTGGTCTTTCCCTTAGTGTCATTTGAACGCATTCGAATGTTACACGAATTTTGCACCGCTGCATGTCCTGGGTACCAGCCAGATGCCAATTCAGTTCTAGCCTCTATGCGACCCAAATGGCCTATTCTTCAGCCACAAGGTACGATCCGGAAACATGAAATTGTACCTCAGCATCTCACTGCCACTATATTCCAGTACCATTTCAAAGAAGATGTGAAACGGGAAACGCAATACCCAACATTAATCAGAATATTGTTATGCAACAAACTCTGACCAACTAGACACGGACATGTATGGGGGGAGGGGGAAATAACAACAATTGTGCACTGGATAACATGTCAGAATGCAGTTAGTGTGTAAACAAAAGCTATATTCCGGAAAAGAATGATAAGTGAGAAGTGATCGAGTACATCATGTGCAGTGTTTATTGAGGTCCCTCTTGCAAGCTGCCATCGCAGAACGCCTCAGCTACTTCGAAGTGAGGCACGCTACCCCTTGTTTGCACTTGAAGCCGAATTTGGGCAAGAGGATTTAAGCACACCTGCAGAAGGAGAATCCAATCAGAGAAGACCTCTTAACATTGCATGCAGTTTGAACGGTACACTGTAATGTAAACGCAACATTCACTCTGGACTGTGAACTGATAATCCTGACGATTCAGGAACTCCACCACACTTTTGGATCAAGGCGCAGATGCAGCTTCTAAGTCGTGGGACGTGAGCAGATCCGACCCACCACAAAGTTGATTGCTATGCTGCCCATTTAATTTTGGGCACAGTTTAAAATGACGTGTAAAGCAAAGACACGGTTTATTTTAGTTTTAGTTTTATTCCAATCAATAATTATATTGCTGGGGTAGAGGGGACGGTTTCAAATAGGACACCGGTTGCAAACCGGAACGGACTCAATATTCACTTTCTCTATTGGTATTTTGATTAGAAAACATATGTCACAGTGAGACTACTATGTGTTATACTCCGAGCCAAAATTTCATGGCTCTGCGATGACCAGAAGCGCCATATCAAGCAGGTGAGTTTTTGACGTGTTGCTTCGCACTGCGACTTGAGTTTTACGACTTTCGAAAAATCAACTTCTTGTCGCAGGTAAACAGCGGCTCGCCTCTCGCCAATAAAGCACCGCATACCAATCAAAACTAATGGAAGCACACACAAGGCTTATTGTTACTCTGTACTGGCCGTCGTGGAGCGATAGCAATTACCTAATTTCAGACCCAGAGTGAATTTGACGTGCACTCTAAAACGTGTCCGGTTTGGAGCCACCTCTGATTTGAACTTTTTTGAAGCGAAAAATTGGGCAACTTGGAGGCAATGGGTCAACACGAAGGAGTGGCTCAGTTCGATTGACTCTGGCCCCAGAGCAAACTTCAACATGCCAGTTTCCTTCCACAAACATATTTCGAGTGAAAAATCAACGCTGATGATCGGTTTGGGTCTATACAAATTTGGCTGTCAAAACGTCCCGGTATCGAGCCGTCTCCTCTACCACTTTGCGTAATGCTTGCAGGTTTTATAGCCATCCGGAGCTACCAAGGAATAAAAGAAGTATATTGTGCGTTTGAGGTACCTTAATGTGTAAATTGCTGAAGTGGAATCGGTGAGTACTTAGAAAAGACTGCCTATTTGGGAACCAAAGCATATTGCCTCTGTGTTTGGTTATTAGAAATCCTACTAAATCTCTGCCTAGCCGAACAAGCTAGCTACTGACCTTGGCACGTACGATGCGACCATTATCAATGTCCCGACTGATGTAGGACGTGGCGGTAAAGTCATGGAATGGTTTGTCGCCATTGTAAGCTGACTCGACCATACTGCGAACCTTCGGTTGAAAACACAGACCAAACAGTGCTCTTTCAGTATTCAGAAAGTATCAAATGTCCCAGGAGAAGATGTAGGTACGTCGCCATAAATATGTACTTCTACAGCGAGACATCGTGAGTTTAGAATGGAGGCGAGCGTATACCTTGTAGCGACCTGACTCACTGAGTATTACGTCATTCTACATACGCATGCGCAAGAAATAAAATCATTCTCTTTGGTCACAACTTCTTCGTTGTCCGGTTGGCCAAAGTAGCCGTCGTCTAGGGCCCGACGTAAAACCCTAAATTGGTGACCCCTGACGCTGCGCTCTTCGGAGTTTTGAGCATGCCATCCCCGAGCTCGGCCCGCCGCAGTTTCCTGCTCGCCTCAACTCTCGGGATCCCGTCAATCGCCGGCTGTTGACGTAAAACTTGAGCCTCACCACCACTCGCACTTGATCCGCCTCGGAGCTGCTGTGGCCCCTGCCACCCTCCCCGGCCCACCTGGATACCCCGCTATCCTGCCACGGCATTGTCCAGTCGTCCGTATTCGTCCTGGCCTCAAGCTGGAAATTGGCCACCTCCACCATCCGTACCAGCCCAACTGTGCACGCACGCAGGCACACGCCCGGCACCGGACCCCATGGAGCTGCGCTCGCCTCCATCTGTCCCCGCCTCACTCGGCATGCCTCGCATCAGTGCAGCGCTCCTGCTGGTATCCCGCCAAGCCTGCAACATGCAGCCGCCTCTGACACGATAACACTCCTCTGTCACGCGTACATTTCCTCTTTTCTTTCTTTCTGCCTCTGACATGCTCTCCACCTCTGTCACGTTAACACACCTCTGACACGTTAACCCGCCTCTGTCATGCATCTCTCTCATTTCCGCTTTCTGCATTTTTGATTTTGTTTCGGCCTTTGTTGCCACGTCTCAAACAAATTTCATACACGCAGCGCTCTCGCCTGTACATATGTATCATATTATATTTTTGCCGTTCCGCCTTGTACATGCTGCGCTTCCTTTCTCTTCTCTTGTTTCTTGTTTATCGTGCTTCGCTCCTCCCGACCTCACCACTGGCGGGGGAGTACTGTAGCGACCTGACTCACTGAGTATTACGTCATTCTACATACGCATGCGCAAGAAATAAAATCATTCTCTTTGGTCACAACTTCTTCGTTGTCCGGTTGGCCAAAGTAGCCGTCGTCTAGGGCCCGACGTAAAACCCTAAAACCTCTTTTCTCAAATACGCGTTTGATATTCTTACTGATTTAGTCAGCCGAGGGATAAAGGGTGAGAGGAATAATCTAACACATTTTTCACATTCTAATCAAATACTTCACTGTCCATGGTGCAAGTACCACACCATGCAAACTTACATCGTCACAGAGCTTCTGAACATCAGCAGTTGCAGGTCTTGGTGATGACCATTTGGAGGGGTCCAACGTTCCGCCTCCCATCACAGGTCCAGGACCGCCCCTCAAAAGTCCGGGTTGGCTCATCTTGATTGCGATTTGGAAGAAGATGATCTTGAACTGAGAGATTGCTTGCGGAAAGTGTGTTTGATTCGGCACGGCTTCGATCGCACTTATATAGGGAGTCGGGTAGTCCGTGTGTCCGTTCTTGTACTCTCAGTGTGGCCCATATCCAATCCTTAGTGATAAACAGGATGGTATTGTTTCAAGGACCCGTTACTAATGCGGGGTTCTATCGACTTGGGCTTCATATGAAAGATACCACTAAGTAACAATCTGCACGAGCGACGCTCACGAATCGAATACGTAGTCGTCCTGTAAATCTCTAGTTTAATGACGCCGCATGACATGAAGGCAATGTACATGTTATAATAATAATATCTTTATAAGGATGACCCAGAGGCTTGTCGCCTATCAAGGGGTTCACCGCTTTGAAGTGTAAGGAGGTTAACCATGGTTACGAAAATGCAACACTGTGTTGTAATTGATCATGTTGCGGTTATTCTGGTACATAAACACTTCTTTTGTTTTAACTTAATTGGCTTTGTGATGGCCCCATTCCAGAACAATAATAATTAATGAATCATTGGTAATGATACAGCAGGGTTTAACGCGAACATTACACCTGGAGAGCGACACAAGATAGAAATTCAATTACACCATACATCGTATGACGTGGATCTTTTTTCCAATTTAGTAAACAGTGCTGATCTGTGGTGAGTAGTGGGAATGTGTAAGTCATGAATTGGAAGCATTGTGGCACAGTCATGGTAACGCAGAGATCGGAATTGACAAGTTAAGTGCGTACATATACAGTCATGTACATGTATATGTGTGTGGGAGTTTCTGTGTGTTTGGGCGTGTGTTTGTGTCTGTGCGTATGTCGAGCTTGTAAACATTACTTGAGGTCACTGCACGCAGAGGTTCACACACTGATACAAAGCCTTATTTGTAAGGCATCATAAGGTATCATAAGATATAATGTATCTTGCGCTATGATACGCGTCGCCTATGATACTCCTCAGAATTTCCCACCTTGCTTCCCCTTATGTTCTGGCTGCCAGTTTTCGATCCATCAGTTGCCTGATGATCGTAGTAATACGTGAAACTAATACGTGATACTCGAAGTTGTGACAAAGCTTTCAATCTCTCTCTTGTGTAAGGTACATACATGTGTATGCACGTTGACTTGCCGCACCAGGAATAGATGATGTCTTTGCCACATCTTAGCAAATACAAACTTGAAGTGCATGTACTTATTTAGTTCCAGGATGCTTGTTGTGCTTCTTATGGGAAGACTTTGGATAACACCTTTAGCTGAGCTTTTGTTTTGTTACTTTTGTTCAAGCGCTGTTACTGGGTCGTTGATGATGGCGCCTTCACAAAACGTACCGAATGCCCACATGTGAAAAATGGGTGGAACCTGCAACCTGGAGATTGAGATTGCCATGGAATTTATACTGGGCCATCGTATTAGGACTGAAAAAATAAACTTGAATGCCAAAACACTTGGCGGCAGATACATTGCACCGGAGGCACGGTGTCTGTGTGAAAGTATATCTTGCCGGCGTTGATACGCCTTTGAAGTGTTGATCGACACTAAGTTAGTACATGAAGTAAGTACATCAGAGTTGTGCATTTGGAATTACAATTGTTATTATTTGCCATGGCGACCCCAGTAAGTCCACATACATGTAACTGGCAGGGCAGGTAGATGCATAGATCACTCAATCAATCAATCAATCAATCAAACTTCGTGTCCTCAAGTGCCCACAGTCCCCACATAGCTAGACTGAGCCAGCAGAGCACCACTGTTTGTGTGAAGCAATGCAGTTCGTTGATTGTGATCATGTAAATGAATGATTTTCTTCACCGCACACAGCAGTGACTGGTGCACAAGTACTGAAGACAAGTACAATGGTCGTTCCCTCACACATGTAAATACACAGGTACATGTACATCTCAACCATTTGCAACTTTGGAAAACAGTGTGTGGCGATATTATATACGAATGTCTATCTGAATTGGGCAACACTGTCTCTAGAACAATACTTCAAGGAAACTAATAACCCGTTCTTTCGGACGTACATTGTCCATGTACATGTACATGGATGGTAAAGAGTGTTGAACACTATGCAGAGCACTGTCTAGTTATATCAGTCGTGTACAATGACTTGATCACAGAAAGTGAAATACATGTACATGTACATGTACATGCACATGTGATCACGTGTGACGTCATCATTATGTGATTTGTTGTCCTCCGCCATGGCAAATTTGTGCTTTTGTTCGCCCGTACATGTAGACATGCACATTTTGTATTTTAGCTCCATCACCGGACATACAGTACATGTACATTGTATAAGGGCTCATGCTCCTACAGCCATTCGTAGATTCTATCCGATCAAGGCTCTGTACTTTAAAGTTACGCCGATCTACCATTGGGAATGCCCAAGTAAAATGAAAAATACAAACACAATACAAAATGCCATCGATTACATTATTCCCATATGGGAACAACGGCAGGATAAAGTTTAGAGATGTAGAAAGGCTTTGTGTTACGATACCCTCTTCCCAAATGCCAAGTCGTAACATACTGAAGGAAACCTGGACAGTTTGAGCTGTCGGTTGACGATTGGTATGCACATGAAAGCCACCAATATCATTCACAGAGCCCCATTGGACGGGCCATGTTGCGCCCCTGAAACTTAAAGTCCACGTCATTTCCTAGTATATATGCAACAAAAAGCAAATTGTTCTAATCAAATCATTCCTTGCAACGTTTTGCTTCCTTTTTTCCCCGTTTGCCCCCTCTCACACTGGCATAAAATGGCTTATACATTTTTTTCTCCGGAAGCCCTACTTAAATACACATCTGCGTCCATATAGTTTGCGTCATAGTCCATACATTCATTTTGTATGTACAAACAAATACATACATACATACATACATGTACCAAATCCGTTGCTATGTACATACCGGTACCTGTACATGCATCCAATAACGTTCAGTCAGCCCATACATACCTAGGGTTGCAAAATTACAGTGATGCACAGCTTCCAGCACGGAATGCACCTCTCGAGACCCAATTATAATGATTTTTCCTATAACCCGTTTCCCTTTTACCCATTTTCTTTTTTAGCGGAGTTCTCCAAGTTGAATCAAAATGAACATCGGTCATGGACTGCAACTCATGCGTTATCCTGTACTTTTGTATTAGTTTACCAGTACTTCATTGCCAATCTCAGATATGTTGCAGTCAGGCCAAAGTTCCAACAAATCCTCGGGGTGAAAGTCACTACTTTCACGAATAGTGTATAATGCTAACAAAGCATCTCATGAGAGCGCAGCTGCATGGATTTGAATCAGTCGCTCAAGAACATTTGAAATCTTGATCATTCTGCATTTTTATTTCCTGAAATACATGCGAATCCATGCGAAAATTGGACTAATTTTTGCCCCACAACATGTTCTGCAAGATTATCATATTGAGACCAATACCAATTTTACCTTTGCTACTGGAATACCCGTATCCAGAGCCAGAAGGTAGGACACGGAAACTTAGATTAGCATGTTCGCCCACATAATTATATTGCCACAACAATTCAAAGACTAACGGTATATGAAACGTGAAACGCAAAAGCCACATTACGAATGTTGTTGAGCAGCTACTGCTGAACAACTACAAACGTATATATATCCGGAAATTGAACAGTGGTGCAAAGTCAAAGCAATGGAAGGCACTTGCACTGTATAATGTCAAATAACATATGGTGTGTATACCAAAAGCATTATCCCGGAGGGGAATGACCAAATAATGTTGGTGTGTATACCAAACGCATTATCCTGGGGAGAAATGAAAAAATAATGTTGCCAGAGAGAAGTGAGCGTTCACATCGAGTACACTATTTATTGAGGTCCGTCTTGCAAGCTGCCATCGCAGAATGCCAAGGCTACTTCGCTGTAAGGAAGGCCTTCCTTTTGAGTTCGTTGCACTTGAAGGCGAATTTGGGCAAGTGGATTTATGCAGACCTACAGAGAGGGAGAGAGGGAGAGAAGCAAATCAGAGAAGACAACTCTTTTAACATTGTATGTAGTGTAAACGACTCACTGTACTGGAAACGTAACATTTCCGCTATACTGTAGTATCCATGCATCTAGCTTTACAACGAGGTTGCACCAAAGAATTATGGGTTTTATCCACATAAACGTGTAGGAGACCAAAGATGAATAATTATACCATGGAACGCGTATGCAAGGAGTCTGCTCTGTCTACACTGCATAAATCCATCTAACATGCCACCCACGAAGGATGCTTAATACCGCCTGGGTACTTCGCGAAATGTTGCGTGTCATGCGATTTCTTCCTATCCGCCACAAACTGTTTAGCAGCATGATCCATGGACAAGTAGTAGTATTTTCAATATTCTAGTTCAATGCAGGAGTTATCATTCTGATGATTCTCTAGGCAATGAAGCTTGACTGGAAACATATCACAATTGCAATCCTGTCTCTTTCTGTGGCCAAAAAGGTATGGGCACTGCACATTGAAGACATTTCCGGCTATTTTTCACATCTTTCAGCACTGTATAATTATGACTGAACTGAACTCATATTTTTGCATTTTGGCAACTCTGTACATTCGGCTGACTTAACAAAATCTCTACCTAGAACAAGCTTTTCTGGAAGCTAACCTTGGCGCGTACGATGCGACCGTTATCAATCTCTTGACTGATGTAAGACGTGGCGGTAAAGTCATGGAACGGCTTGTTGCCATTGTAAGCCGATTCGACCATGCTGCGGACCTTGGGGCGAGAGAAAGAGCAACACAGAACAAGCAATGCTGTTTCAATGAGAAGATAATATTGGTTACGTCGTCATACATACATGTAAGTGTTTTTGTCTGCGGATTGCCTTAGCTTTGCTATGTCCATCCCTGTGGTGTTGAGCACTCTATGTAATCTGGTAACTCTCGCTATTGTGTATGTGCTGTATACATTTAGACGTAGCGAGTTCAATTATCTTATGGACTAAGACTGACTATAACAGAAACAGAAACATTTGCAACAGAAATATAGGCGAGCACTTGCTCCTTTCCTCCAATCAGCGTTTGACTTCAGTAAGGGTTCTTTTATCCGAGGTGCAAAGAGTGAGGGCAAATCAAAAACATTCTGTTCACATTCTAATCAAATGCATGCACCTGCCCCTTACATCGTCACAGAGCTTCTGAACATCAGCGGTGGCAGGCCTCGGTGACGACCATTTGGAGGGATGCAACGATCCTCCTCCCGTGACAGGTCCAGGTCCACTCACAAGACCGGATTGGCTCATCTTGATTACGATTTGAAAGAATATCTACTTGTGCTGAGAGATTGCTTCCAGAAAGTGTGTTTGAGTGGGCACCGCTTGGTTCGCGCTTATATAGCCAGTCAGTCTGTACTTTGTGATCGTTATAATCCACTCGGTCTGTGGTATTTCCAATCACGGGAGGAAAGCACTAAAATAATAATGATGGAGCCGTTGCTAGTGTAACACTCTATGGACTTGGGCTTCATATGACAGATATGGATAAGTAACAGTTTGCACAAGCCGCTCGCGAACCGAATACGTAGTCATCGTGTAAGGCGTTGGTTCAATGATGCTGCAGGGCGTGAAAGCAAGATACATGCGACGAGGCTTACCATGGTTACAATACCCAACACTCTGTCTGAAACCTTGTTTCCTTTACTTGAAAGTTGTATGCATGATACACCCGAAGATTAATTTTGATCTTGTTGCCTTCAATCTGGCAAATGCACGTTTCTGCTTTAATTGTCGTTACGAAATGATACACCGATGGCGCCATTTCAGAACAAATTACCTAATGGCACTTCAGGGTTGTACGCGATCATGACATCTGGAGAACGAGACATGATACGTATCGACACGATAACGACACGATAACCTGGATCTGCTGTAACAGTTTCCCCTTAAGGGTGGCAGAATACGGACAACTGTGAACAGTGCTAACCTTTGGGAGCATGGCGAGTTAATAACACTGGACTTTGAAGCTTTCAAGAACAGTTATCGTAACACAGAGAAAGGGATTGAGAATGTGTGTATATGTATGGTTGCATGGGTATTTTTGTGTGTGTGTCTGTGTGTGTATGTTTTGTGTGTTTGTGTGTCTGTATTTGTGCGTGTTTGCGTGTGTGTGTTTGTATGTGTGTGTTTGTGCGCGTGTGTGCGTGGTATGGCGTCTGCTGTAGCATCGCTATCATCGCCTCCGGCGATGGGCGTCCAGTGGTGGTGGTGGTGGTGTGGTGGTGTGTATGTTTGTGTGTGTATGTGTGGACCTTGGATTCATTACTTGAGGTCATTACATGGGGAGGATCGGACACTGATGCAGACCTTCATTAGAAGACCTAAATGGGTATGTACTTCGACTTGCAGCTCCAGGAATAGATGACTTTGCCACATCGTAGGGAATACCAACTCGAAGTGCATGTACTTATTTAGTTCCAGTAGGATTGTTGTCCTCCTTGTCGGCAGCCATTGGATAACACCTTTAGCTGAGCTACTCTTTGTTTAGTTATTGGCACTGTTACTGGGTCGTTAACGATGGCGCCATCCCAAAACGGCCCGCCTACCCACGTGTGAACGATATGTGTAAACCTGCGACCTGGAAATGGAGTTTACTTCTCGATACCACAACTGCAATTTATATTGTGTCAGTTTGATTGTTGTACGAATGGAACAATTATATTGAATGCCAAAACACCCGGCGGCAGATTCTTGGCACCAGAGATACGGTGTCTTCGTGAAAGTATGTCTTGCAGGCGTTAATACGCGGCTTGAAGTGTTGATCAACCGGTACCGCACATTATCTGAAGCCACTCATTGTCGTTAAGCACAAGATCAATGTAATCATCCACACAAAGACACTCAGTAGTTTGTAGAGCTTCCATTGACAGTATTTGACTAAGTGGGATCATGACATGTGCTAAAGGTTCCATAGATAGCTGGCTGGCAAGAGTGGGCAAGCGTGGTCAGAAAGCGGCTCACAATGGTACAGTCGCCGAGCCTTTAGCGTGGCAATCATGAAAATCCAACATCAGATTATGACACCTGCTTAACCACTGTCAGTGTAATTTTCTGTCCATGACAATGCTATCTGGTCGTCCACATGCCGACTTCTGCGCCTTGGCAGCAAACCCAACACAACGCCTTGATTTATCCCAAGGCAATAGGGACCGCCTGAGTCGAGTGACCTGCAGGACGTTCCAGGACAACATTTCCAGGTGTTAGAACAAGTAATACTGTATCCGTATTGAAAAGCGTCACAGTTCAACTTCTACGTTCAATGGGGCTTACATTATGTACATGATTGTATCTGCAAGCTGTTTGACGCCCTTGAAAACGTTCTTTGAGGACACATCCGAGAGTGGTGCCCCAGATCTCCTACAGAGCACGTCACGTATGTACATGCAGAGGTATGTAGATGAATTAATCAATCAAACTGACGTCTACTGTAGTACCCGCAAGTGCCCACTGTCCCTGAAAGAGCACAGATTAACTCAATGGAGCAAAGAATACTTGTATGAGTGAATGAATGCAGCCCGTGGAATTTGATTTGCTTCACCGCTGCTGTTCACATACATGTATATGTAGCAGTGACTGGTGTACGCGCTTGGTGAAGTACCGAGGTGGTTCTCCACGGACATGGCCATGGGCATATTCACGTACATTTCAATCATTGCAGCGTTGGAAAGCAAACGAACGTGTTTCCATATGCAGCAACAGGGGAGCAGGGTTCCTCTGAAACAATGCGTCAATGCAACTAAGGCTTACGTCCACTCGCATGTAAGGTAAAGAGCGTGTCACACTATTGTACAGCTCAGACTTGTTTTAGCAGTGGGGAAAACGTGTAGTACTGTATGAGTTGTCTTCGGAAATACATGTAGTTCCGTCACCATGACGTACATGTACATGTATTATTATTGTATAACGACTCATGCTCCTACAGCCTAAGCGAGCATATGTAGAGTCTATCCGCTTCAGGCTCTGTACATACATGTAAAGCTAAGCCGAGTTACCGTCGATTATTACAGAACACAAAGATGTAGAAACGCTTTGTTGCGATATCGCCTTTTTCTAATGCCAAGTCATGACATGCTGGATGTGTCCGGGACAATTTGTTTTGTTAGCAACTCTTGTAGGCTGCATTTATAACATTCTTTCCCAATACAATAGGATAATTTGCTCCTGAATGGAATTGCGTAGCTTGCATGCACATGGAAGCCGGCAAGATCGTGCACTTAGGTCGGACTTGGAGGGTCTTGCGTCGCCCTTAAAACCTAAGGTACAAGGTGGTCTTCTAGTATAAATACAGCTGAAATAAAATTGTTGAGATCAAATCATTGCTTGCAAGACTTGCTTATTTGTTCTCTGTTTTCCCCGTCTCTCACACTCGTATACAATGGCTACCATTTGCGGAGGATGGACACACCCTGCCCGCCACGCAGACCCTGAAGTGCAAGCCTTGTGCACATCTGTGAGTTTTCTACTTAAAAACGGTGTGCACTTTCTTCTCATTTAATGGTATACCACTCTGTATCCTTTTTTCTGGGTCCAACCATTACACGCTCTACTTTCATTCTAGCCCATCTGGATCAAAAGCTGATTTTCCTGTAGCGAATTCCCTTTTCTGTTGTATATGAAATTGCATTATTTCTCTATCACGTCCTTTGATCCGTGTTCCAACCATTACCCGCTCTCAACTCATTCTATCCCGGCTGGATCAAAACATGCTTTTCCTTTAGATAATCCCCTTTTTCCGCTATACATATTTATACATGTATCTGAATCTGCATTATTTTGTATATGTCGCGTATTGTGTTCCTCTGTTGGAGGGGGCGGATGCTTACACAGTTTCACCTTTGCTAATACTTGTAGGTGTGTAAACTGCGCTCTCTTCTTCTTCATCGCAGGTTCGTGACGAGGTCTCGAAGAAGGTGAACGGAGGATTGCCGTTCGAGCAGTTCACGGCTGACGAGTTCGCCTCCCAAGTTGTTGAGGGTGCCAACTATCGCATCAAGGTAAGATTGATCAATTGACTCGAACAGTATTGTCAGACTCGGTATCTGTGGGATCTTCATCGTTGATCCGTCTATGCATAGAAATGTGGCCGATCCTTTGACGTACCTCCGTAAATACTGCGGCGGACGACTTGATCACACGTACATTTAAAATTACTTCAAACATCTCCATTTTACCCAGATTTCCTGGGACATTTTCATTGCCACACCTCCACTTTGCGTATAAACAAACCTTTATCAATCAAACAGTGGTCTGCTTTCCGGGTACAATATACTCGAACATATGCCTTCTGTGATCGATTTTGGCAACTTCTAACAATTTTTCACGCCTTCATCACAACACCGAGGTTCAAATATCCGTTTACAAAATGGTATATAAAATTTGCAGGGACTACGGGAACAATTTATGGTCTTTAATGTTTGTAATGTTTGCGTTTGCTCATTTTTTCCCAATGGATTGCGTTCCACAGGTGCAAACTAATCTGGTCAGCAAAATTCGCATTGAAGTGTTTAAAAGCCTGGCAGGGAAAGTTACTCTGTCCTGGGTGAAGGGCGACGGTGATTTGTACGAAGGACTTCCTCACTAACTCAAGATATCAACATGGCAACAGTCGCTGCAATCAGTCATGCAATTGTATGAGCAGGTGGTCCTCATAATAACACCCTTTCGTCACAGAACCCTTGCAGGGCACCAATTTACATTTCGAAACCAGATGTAGTTATACATGTGACCAATTTTATCTATGATTCGTTTCTCTTTCTGCCCTAGTTCATTCATTTTGCACCAAGATGTGGTATAGGTAATCTCTTCCCTCCAATCTTCCAAACCGGTCTTGCTGAGTACCATGTGAAGTGCGTAAGCATAATTTTTGATCGCATTTAGTACAATGCAAAGACCACAGAAAAGATCATCCAACGATTGAGATGCATGTAACGATTTCAAGTTCAACCGATCATGGGGTACAGAGTTACGTATGAGTTGCATTTTATGACTGATTGTCCAAGGGGTAAGGGAAAATTCAATATAATTTGGCCTGGCAGGGTTCATTGCACGGGCAGCGGGGCGGCGCTGCAACTTTTGAAACCTTGAGATGTCTGGGCTGTTTGAGCATTATAAATGTGGTGCTTTTGGGGTAAAAATTTCATAAGTCTTTTCAAGCTGAAATAATGAGGCGGAACAATCTGCATGGGAAAGGGAGCGGTATTACCTCGCATGTCGCCGAGTGGTGGATGCTAGGGGTTCCTGGTGAGTAGTGAGTCAGTCAAATAGCTTCAAGTAACTACTCTGCTACTTGAGGCTTGATCACAAGGATTTTCTCCGCATGCGACGGCGAAGGGAATTATTAAATTTTGTTTGCTATGAGTCACGAAACTACTTTCTCCTTTCACTCGTACATGTACTTATCACAAAGACTAACCAACCTTGTTTAGAGAAATCCAGCAAGTTGGTGAAGCAGCAGCCATTTCCGGGTAATAGACTGAAATGTAGAATTTGCAAGATGAGCATGGCAAGCAAATGCTCTTTTATTTTTTTCCGTAAACTGACGAGAGGTCGCCCATTCGTTGAGCTCACTGCCGGCTACTGCTCTCCAAGTGTACTTGTAATTGGGTATTCCTTTCAAAAGGTTCCCTGACAACCCAAGGATTTCTGTTTCTACACATATTTCCAAAATGAATACGAAACAGGTAGTTTTAGGGTGAATATAGTAAACAATGTCACGTTTACTCGTCCTCCTTCTTGCGATAATAAACATGTATTAGAAGTGTCTAATCTCTCGGAGTCGTAAAGTTCCTGAGCTGACAAGGATGAAGTCGACTTTAGCTGGTGATATGGAGAGTAACGGACGATGTGGCGAGTCACTCTAGTAATCCGTTGTTGATGGATCAGGTGAAGATGAAGGCATTGAGGCAGTTCATGAGAATAAGAGTGGGTGTGTGCGGGCCGTAAAAGTAAGACCGTCGTTCGTAACCTTCTCAATGGAATGCTTGCTGCTTAAGAATCATCTCGTATCTTATCCTGGCTGTTGTTGTTAATCCTCTTTCCACTATTCTGTACCGTGGTCGTCATCGCTAAAGTGGGTGTTCAGAGAGACAATGTTATCACCTTGAAGCTGTTCGAGTTTTGACTTTTGTTCTCTAGGGATGGCCTGGCTTGTCCAGTGCTGTTTTGGCGTACTACTTCGACAGGCCCTTTAATTTGGCACCGAATCACATATCAAAATGGTGCTGGTTCTTCACCTTTCCCAATTCGCTCGAAGTAAAAAAAAGAAGAAGGAATAAGAACCATAATATTTCTATGATGCACTTACAACACACAAAGTGCATAGAGGACATTAGTCGAAACACTGAATTTATCAAAATGATGAATGAGAATACATGTATCTAAAATGGTTGTTCCTAATCGATTTTCTTGAGACTATCATCACGATTTTCTCTTCTGATAGTCTCAAGAAAATCGATTAGGAACAACCATTTTACTGAATTTATTGTTCAATACAATCATCAGGCGACATGCAAATTATGTGCCTTTTGTATGTAATACGCAATGTCTGCATTTGGATTGATACAATTGAACAAAGCGGAACACATCGTTTTTGAAGTATGATCAGATCATGGACAAGGCGGACTGGTGATACATGGGATAAGAAAGACATGATGCATCGTTTTATTGCCGTTGTTGACGACCAGCTGTAACATACATTGACTGTGACTGTTGAGTACTCTATCCAAATACTTGTAACAAGGCAGGAAACCTACCACAATAGGGTTTACAATTCTGTAACCAATACGTCATCCATTCTGTTCTTTGCACAAATTTATTCTAGACAAGGAGCAAAGTAAAACTAGAGAGTTGTACATATGACGACGGATGAAACCAGAAAACAAATTAGCGATTGTAACGCACTAACACACACACAGTTTCCACACAAAGACCTGGACAAAGATTACCTACTACACGCAAACACACACACACAGACACACACACACGCACACAGTGGGAAATGAACCGCTTCTGTGCCGGTCTTTCCTGCAAATCCTTCTGCACGCAAGAGAACGTCACTATCGTATATCTAACTCAGTGTAGAAGTCCCGTTTGGTTCTGGTTGGCACTTTCAGGTGCATTCCCAGGCCATCCAACATACTACAACAGTCCATTGCATTTTAGTAACAGTATACTGGTGTCTCCTGCTTGGCTGTAGTAACGTCATTACTTGTAACAGTATGACTATAACGTCATTACTTGTAACAGTATGACTGAAGCGTCATTACTTGTAACAGTATGACTGTAGCGTCATTACTTGTAACAGTATGACTATAACGTCATTACTTGTAACAGTATGACTGTGACGTCATTACTTGTAACAGTATGACTGTGACGTCATTACTTGTAACAGTATGACCGTGTTCCCGTCTAGTCCATACTCTTTTATCGTGATTGCGTGCATCAACAGAACAAAGTTATTCTCTTTGTACCTCTCCGAAGGATTATAATTATGCAAACTCGTAGAACCATCCCATTTCAGTGTCGCATCGCTTACAGGTAACCACTTGAATATAGTAACATCCTGTCGCCATATTGGTTTTGAGAGATGGTCCATACTTGACGTTTACGACATCCGAGCAGAATTTTGCAGGTTTACCATGCGGTCCGTAGAATACCGATTCAAAGTCTATTTTGCTCTTCTTGATAACTGGCGTGTTACACTTGTCGCAGCATCCGAATTTCACCGCAGTCCCTTCGGGTATGACGATGAAAAGTACGCCCAAATTATACAGTCGGCAGCCTCAACTCTTTGTGAAGGTAATAGACGGCCACTAGATTAAACCAGATCTAAATGGTCTGGAAGTAGCCTCCGGATACGGTTAGGTTCGGTAGACAAGAGACAAATTGTTTATTAGTAAGAAAACACGAAGTAGAAAAACTGACAAGATTCAATCCTGTAAACGACAGAGAAGACTTTCAAAGATATGCGTGCGTGCATACACAGTAGAGCTAAAGTTGCTGCGCCATGTTAGGTTCGGTAGACAAGAGACAAGTAGTTTATTAATTAGAATACACGAAGTAGAAAAACTGACAAGATTCAATCCTGTAAACGACAGAGAAGACTTTCAAAGATATGCGTGCGCGCATACACAGTAGAGCTAAAGTTGCTGCGCCATGTTAGGTTCGGTAGACAAGAGACAAGTAGTTTATTAGTTAGAATACACGAAGTAGAAAAACTGACAAGATTCAATCCTGTAAACGACAGAGAAGACTTTCAAAGATATGCGTGCGTGCATACCCAGTAGAGCTAAAGTTGCTGCGCCATGTTAGGTTCGGTAGACAAGAGACAAGTAGTTTATTAGTTAGAATACACGAAGTAGAAAACTGACAAGATTCAATCCTGTAAACGACAGAGAAGACTTTCAAAGATATGCGTGCGTGCATACACAGTAGAGTTAAAGTTGTACAGCATTACGTCATAACATAACATATACTGAAGTATTTTCATGAGAGCAATGTTCATCTCCAAGTGAACGTCATGAATAGCAATGATGTGCATATATATAATTAGTATATTCTGACTTAAGTCACTGACCAGGCCTAGGACTAGACATATAAGTGTGCGAGCGATCTATGTCGGCAATATAACGAGTTTATCACCTTTCATCACACCTTAGAACAATACTTTCAAATTCAAACATGATACATAGCCGTGCCCATCTTTCTCCTGTGCTTGCGCGTCGCTGTTGGGTTTCACCTCCCTGGTTTTACCCCTTCTCCAGGTCAATTGCTTGGCACGAAAACTTTTAATTCAGCAACATGCATCGAATGTGACCTTCACCCCCAATTCATAAAATTGCACCTCTCATTCTATCACATATCCTTGTTCTTGAATTCACTTCTTTTCCATCATGATTCCACGTGACATCGCATCGTGGATGATATCAGCACAATGGATATCGCACCGAAACTTTGAATTTGAATTCCATATTGTCATTTGACACTAAGGGTAGTAGTGATTTAGAGTGCTTACTATGTTACCAAGTGAATGTGCTGTGCAATGCTACCTACGACCTTTCTGTCACACATTGTTGACTGTGAGTGATAATTGTAAACATATTGAAGGGCTGGCTATGTCCTATTAGGTTGGCTAGTATGTGATAAGGATCAATAGTGCTGCATAGCTCGTTCTCTCTTGAATTGAATCCAGTTATCTTTTGTTCAGGTTTTACTCTGTTGATAAATAATAACAAATGGACAAGTAACACAACACATTGTTAGCTTTAGAACAACAACTCTTTGTAGTGCTACCTAGTTAGGCCATACATGTATATGTGTGTACGTTGTCACAAGACGAATGTACATGCTTCCGGCTCTATGCTTACATCAACTCGTCCATTTGCCTTCAAAGAACATTTATACATGCACTGGCACATCGTGAACAGTGTTATCAGTATTCGACATCAAACCCTGGTCATTTTGGATTTACCAATTCAATTGTAATGCCTCATTACGTGTCATTTTTACAGTATGTCTGATTTAACGGATTGGATAAGATATTAGACTCGGGCGGAGAGCCCAGGATTAATTTATAATAAGAAAGGAGGATCTAGTAAACGTTATAATGTTCACTGCCAATTTGGTGTAAAAGGTCAGTACCTGTTAGTCAGTGTCGTGCAATGTTATCGCAAGAGCTAATTGTTAAGTAACTGGTGGTGTATGCGTAACTTGTAGCTCCTAGGTCCTCATTTCTTCTTAACGGGTCATAATTTACTTTAGAGTTCATACCTTGCACACAAATAATATCACCCAATGCAATTTCCAGTGTGAGAACTGTACATG